ACGCTGTTTTATAATCCGCATCGCGGATTATAAAGCGTAAACTGACCCAAACCAGGTTATACTCGAATAATTTGGCCAAGAATTAGAGTCATTCCTAAAATATATGCAAAATTTAGATATCTTTTAAAAAATTCCTGAAGGGCAAGAAATTTTACTTTTTAATGTCATATATGAAAGAAATATTATACATTCATATTTTGAAAAGAAATTGAAAAAAAATTGAGAAATGTAGGGAAAAAAAATTATAATCCTTTAATTTGATCCTATTCCGATCTAAATTTAAGTAAACTGTTCCCGACTGTAATCTATAAAGTGGAACTCTCCTTGACGTGTTTTATTGGATTTTTATGGTTTTTCTTTGAATAACAGCAAACTTGAAGCTCCGTAATGTCTAATTTGCAAAGAGAATAATGTTTTTATATTTATTTCTTTACGTTTTTAGCTTCGATAATTTTCGTGAATTTTCGTATCTTAAGAATACTGGTTTTTCATGCATGAGCGATTTAGCGCTCACTATAAATACATTTGCCGGGCAATGTTCGATTAATGCGACGTTCGTTACAAAGAATCGCAGTAGTTTTTGTGTCTTTGGCTTTCCCGGCCCGCCCAGCCCTTGCATTGTTTATTCCCTTGCATTGTTTATTTTGTGAAAATAATATAATTGATTTGTGTTATTAATAAAAAGCGATTTGTAACGAACGCAACAACCTACAATATATTCTTTTTCTTTGTTTTTCAATAAATTAGTCAAGAAAATATTCATTTTCGGAGGAGTGAAACGAGGGAGAAAATAATTTCTCTGAAAAAAACCCCAACCAAACAAATAAGCATATACAACTTATGATTGTTACGGAGACCGTTACAGATAATCCGCAAATGGTCTCCCTACTTCCGAATGGTTCCCCGTTCTATATAAGCCTCATGAAATTAAGTAAAACTTTAATAGACGTAATTTGTAATATTACATACAATCTGAATTATGTCTTGTTTAGTAGAAAATTTGGAAAGTTTTAACCACTAACAATTTTAGCCAATCAGATTTCAGCACACGTAATAGCTTATATTGGTCTTCCAGTGATGCAATCATATTCACAGAGATACTTTTGCATCAATTAAATAAAACTTTGGTGTGGCATACTACAAATTCAAAATCACAAGGTATGTAATGAAATATCTTTACAAAATGTAATTTACAAATATATTTAAGTCAAATTTGATAAAGCAATTAGGAAAATATTGATTTCCACAAACGTTAAAAGACGTTCAGGGACACCAGATCTGCAAGCCCAGTGTGCATATACTTGTTAAAAAACACACAAAACTATAGACGATAGATATCAAGGCCCTACCCTTAACAAACATTTTTTTAAAAAGTAAAAATGCATTGTCTATCGTCATTATTAGATTTCTTTTCAAAAGTCAAGTAAGTGGTGAGGTGGGCATTTTACAAAAAGGATACACAAACACTCTATTGGTAGAGATTCTGAAAAAAAGACAAGTCTTTAGACCACAAGCTAATACCATACAACTGTAATACAGCAAGGAAAATGATAGTGCTAGGGGTTTTCTACTTGGACCTCGGTTGTGTTGCCTTCAAAGATTAGAATCATAGGGGCCCTTCCCTATAGTAGAAGACTGTAAAAAAAGTTCCCGCGAGCTAACGGGGACAATATTCTTATTTCGACCTCCAGAGGGGTACCTCTGGGGTTCCCCATCATGTTCAGTAATTGGTTCTAGTCCTCAAACAATCTTCAAAGGCATAGGACATTAAAATGTAGTCTCATCTCATGGAACACCAGGCGGTACCTTCACAACCCCTAATTATTTTTCACTTTGATAGTTTAGGGGTCCTTATACGAGTTTTTGCAGTGTTCCATCTTGTTTTCAATGAACATGGATAAATTGACCTTTCATGACATATGTAGACTGATAAGTGATTTTTGATAGAAATTTAAATCATATTACTGATTGTGAGGATGCCAATTATCTTGATCTTAACAGCACCCATCTTAACACAGTACTCTGCTTTGAGGTCGTATCTTAAAATCCGTAACTAGACTAGTACTAGTAACCGAGCTTGTCTCTTTTTAATGCCAAGTGGCAAGGCAACAGTCACTATACGTGTATCTACATGTAGGTGTTTTTCTCACAACTCCTTGTGAAAGCGCGAACGATTGGGCCCTCGTGGAACTATAGATAAAAATTTGTTGTTTGCCTGTACTTTGTCAAACAATAATATCCACATAATAAAACCGTCATTTATCTCCTCTCACCAGAAATTAGGAAGCACATTCAGAAAGTTGATTGATAAGCTCACAATACATTAAGTGTCAGAAAACGAACTACTTCGCAAACAAAATCATTATTTAGTTCAATTTGCAATTGATGCTAGATATATCTTATATTAACTCAGGTTTCGGGCGGATCCAAAAGTTCATAGGATGTTTTATATTGCTGCTCCACACAACAACTGTGGCGGTGATAGTGGATGGCTAGTAGTAATACCATCAAACGATTATAAACCTTGTAACGTTGATAATGTTAATTCTACAACAATATGGTATAGTGACCTGAAGACAAAGAAAATTTTTAATCGTGAGTAGAATAAAAAGGCATTGATAATAACTTAATATGCACCATTTCATAATTTTGGGAATACATTTAGGTATATATTGGATAAACACAATATAACAACATTTACCGGAGTCACATTGTTCTTTCTGATGACTGATCATATAATGAAAGCCTTTACTTGTTGTCCCAAAGCAAGATAAATCTAATTTCAACAATTCTAATCTATAGAATATTAATTGATGATATTGCATATTATTATGAAAGAGTATATTGCTGTTTTGTTAATGAAGAATTATTGGATGTATTTTAACTATTCTATCTACCCTTAATAAGACTCCATTCTCTATAACATTGTGTTTTAAAGTTTTGTTACATTTTTTTGAATAGAATATATTTTATTAATTTTGCAAAATACATGTATTACTATAAAGACCATTTAAATCCTACACCTACAGTATACCATCTTCATCTGGAAACGAACGTACATATATATATATATATATATATATTATGTATATCACGTAAATAAGCACGCGTGCATGTTTATTAAAAAAATTAAGTTTTTTTTTTTCTTTCATATAAAATATTTACATATAGCTTTTAAGACTTTTAACCCATATGTGATCCCAGTAGCAGGAGCAATAATGTTATTTAATCAACTTCGAATCGACATTATACACTGAACCAAACTTCTAAGTGTTCATAAAACATATTTAAGTTATAAAGAACAAATGCATACAATAAGTAAATTCTTTAATTCATAGTTAACGATGCATATTTCAGTTTGATGTTGCGTAAATTTCATGTACGTATCTCATCAGACTTTAAAGCAAAGTGTCAAGGACATGATGTACCTTCAAAATGAAAATTCACATTAAACAATCAGTATGGAGTATGACCACTTCTTGTTTTAATTACTGCAAGACATCGTGTCCTCATGGATACAAGGTACCTCTAAATAGAAGGCTGACCTATGTGCTGCCACACCTGTTGTATGTCGCTGAAATTGCGTGGAGGGCGGGGGGGGGGGCTTTGACATTCCTTTTAAAAGTCCCAAATGTGTTCAATGGGATTCAGATCCGTGGATTTGGCAGGCCAGGGTATCACACAGATATCTTTTGGTCAACACTAAAACTCTCCTTGGGCGTCTTGCACGTAATATTACCTCTTTAAGGAGGATTCAGGCTGTTTCAGATGATATTCATTAGGATATCCATGAGCACCATCGTGTTGTCATTTTCTTGCCATTAAATCTGCTTCTAAAGTAGTTCAGGACCATGTAACAATTTTTTTTAACTTTGTGTTTAGACTTTAACTTGGCCTCAGACGAAGATCCAGATTACTTCCGGTTCGGTAAATTTTTGCCCCAAACTTTCAATTTGTTGTAAGTTGACGATAAAACTGACGCTCAACCTATAGAAAAATGTGTTTAAATGGTTTTTTATACGGGTTGTTAATTATTAATGGTAATATCCAGGACAAACAAACACTAAAATAAAGGTGAGTATAACTTGTAAAGACGAACCAGATTCCAACATTCCAACGGCTCTCCTTCTTTCCTCAATGGTTATTTTGCCCATGGATGCTTTGTGTTTTTCTAATTAAATCAGTTGTTAATGATCAATAATGGTCACAAAAAGAATCTATGACACAAAACACGTGCCGCAAAGTCCCATTTATCGTTTTTAAGCTTCGTCATGGAACATTGATTTTCATCAGTGATATTAGATTTTCGATGGAAAATTGTTAAGGAGACACATTGGTTGTAATTTTGAAAATATCACACCGTTCTATCATGTAATTTTTAAATTAATACATTTATTAGAGTGAACACTTAAAATTTTGTTAAGTGTATGTTTAAGTTTTCAAAAAATTACATATTGATGGACCAGTAATTCTAAAGAAATACACAGCCATTTTTTTTCTTTCCTTGGAAACATTCAAGTTGCTGACTGACTGATATCCACATCATTTTCTCGCTTTGAGTGAGACTCTAGTGGAGGCACTGAAGGGGTAAAAGCACTACAAAACGAATGAAATCTCCTTAGGAAGAATGTTTTCGGACAACTTATAGGGGTCAGTTTAGTTAAGCTGAGGTTCCGGGAAGATGAGGTTTACGCACAAACTACAGACACCAGCAAACATGTGTCAGAAAAAAATATCTCTCTAGACATTTGTTCGTGTCATGCACACACTAAAAAATAACATTTTCTTTTTATAGAACTCCAGAAAGCGGATAGCATGACAATTGAAGTTGAAATGGGTGAGAATCAGTACTATATATGATGATATACTACTCATCAGTATCTTAAATACTTTCATAACCTATATTTTTTTCAAACTTTAAAAAAGTTTATTTCATATACTTACGTGTAGATGTTACCTGTGATGATAGCGAACTGCTCGTTGAAAATACAACACACATTATGTCAGGTCTATACAACGAAACTGTTACCTATCGATGCCTGGAAGGATTCTATCACATGTCTGGAGACTTTATAAGACAGTGTACACAGACTGGACGATGGAGTGGAACGAGACCTGTCTGTGGCAGTGAGTAAATTACATTGCCCGAATCAATGTTAATGAAGTAAACACAAAGTTGTTCGACAAGTTCAACATTGGGATTTACAAGTTCCATTATTATTAAACGTCCAGCTCGGAATCACAAAAATTTAATTCAAATATTCAGATACATGTAACTTTTTCCCCTGAAATTTATACATATAAACCTTGATGAAAACGAAATTACAAATTATACTTATTTATTGTTATAGCACCTTAGAAGTCAATCAAAAGAAACGATGATGTACAGTATTTACATAATAACCAAGTGTTCATTAGAAATTTTTGGCAAATAACTAAATTCTATTAAACAATTAATGACATAAGATTGAGTTTAGACTTAACTACAATTGTTCAAGTTACACATGTAACATTAACTTTAAACTGACATTTGCTGTCACAGTACTGGCAACAAGCTCCTACAATCCCTGAAATCTGCACATTATGAAGTTTAAGTGAATGTAAATGAACTGTGAGCAAATGCTGAAAGAAATTTTACGAAAGGAGCAGACACAGCGAAGGATTGAGAGCTAAAAAAAGTGCATATGTAATTGAAAGTGAATGGTGAACGTAAACGTAGCAGAGTGCAAGCAGCAAACTAGATGGAACACAAAAGAGAGCAAATGCAGATCGAAGAATAAGAGCGAAAGGTGACCGCAAAACTTGGACAGTATGTGAATGATGAGCAAACAGTGATCGCAAAAACGTAGATAGTGAGCAAATCATGTGAGATCAGTGATCACAAAAACTTAGACCGTTGGTGAAAGACAAGAGAAAGGTTAGCGTAAACCCGTACACCTTAAGTGAATGGTAAGCGAAGGATGAACGCAAAAACGTAGACGGTGAGTGACTGGCGAGCGAACTATGAGCGAATGAATGTAGACCTTGAGTGAATGGTGAGCGCAAAAACTTAGGCCTTGAGTGAATGGCGGCGAATGATGAGCGCAAAGGCATAGACGTCGAGTGAATGGTGTGCAAAATGTTAGCGTTAAAACGTAGTCAGTGACAGGACACAAGAAGGGGTAGTTGAACATTTTAGAGGGTTTGAATACACATATTTATCATAATAGCATACATTTTGTGTTTTCAATGTATATTTCAGAGTGCTGTGTATGTAAAAACACATATATTCTTCCAAATGATACAGAAGCAATAGAAGCCAGTGTAAAGAAAATAAAATCTGAACTTTCCATCAAAACAAACGAAACATCCATAGCTCAACGCAAGAAAATAAGTGCCGCTGATAACCGACCATCAGCCACAGCAGTAGGCAGTGTATTAGGAGGAGCATTGTTGGGAAGTCTTGTGTTACTTATTGTGGTTAGTGATGCAGCTGTATTGCTAAGTCACATTAAAATGGCGGTTCACAACATAAGAAAAAAGACTTATTCTGAAGATTAAAAGTAAGTAGAAGACCTTTCTTGGGGAATTATACAGTCATGCTATTGAAGAGCTTATAGATATATAAGTGCTCTATGAACTTGAATTTGTAGAAATCGCTTTATACATGTATATTTTAGCAAAATTTAAAGTTCTAGTCTTTACATTTTCGTCATAGAGAAAACTGATGATAAAATCTGGAAATCATAAAAAAGAAGATGTGTTTGTGAAACAATGATGCCCCCTTATGACAACTTATAGCAAAGGTTAAACTTGCTCAAATGCAAATCAAATATGTTGGTACCCAAAGTAAGGTCTTGTCTCGAGGAATATACCTGTGAAATGCCCTAAGAGCAACCATTGAATAGATATGGAAAAAGATTTTTCAAAAGTATGTCAAACATTAAGGTCAAGGTCAAATGGTCAAAATTAATGGTGCCCAAGGAAAGGCCTTCTCCCAAGAAATACACAGATGAAATATGAAGACTGAAGCACCAATCTTCAAAAGTTATGACCAAGGTTAAATTTCTAAAAGTAGGTCAAACTCCGAGGTCAAGGTCAAAGGATCAAAGTTGTTGGTATCCAAAGGAAGGATTTGTCACAAGGATTACACATGTGAAATATGAAAGCCCTAGCACTAATTGTTCAAAAGTTATGGCCAAGGTTAAAGTTTTTCAAAAGTAGGTCAAACTCCAAGGTCAAGGTCAAAGGGTCAAAGTTGTTGGTATCCAAAGGAAGGTCTTGTCAAAAGGATTACACATGTGAAGTATGAAAGCCCTAGCACTAACTGTTCAAAAGTTATGGCCAAGGTTAAAGTTTGTTAAAATTTTGCTAAACTGGCTCAAACTCCAAGGTCAAGGTCAAAAGGTCAAATTTGGTGATACCCAAAGAAAGGTCTTGTCAAAAGGAATACACATGTGAAATATGATGACCATAGCTCAAACCAATCAAAAGTTATGGGCAAGGTTAAAGTTTTTGCGGACAAACAAACAAACAGACAGACAGACAGGGCAAAAACTATATACCCCCGAATCTTCGGTACGGGGGCATAAAAATCACCAAACTTTATAGCTAAAAGAATCACTTTTGAAATGTTTATGAAACAAATTAATATCAATAAAATGTTAGAGAACCGTTTGATTAGAGATTTCGTCATAGAAATATCCCACTGTTAAGTTTTTTTTTTTTTGGATTAATTTTAAATTATCAAAACGTAATTAATACTCAAACGGTTATAAGTAAATTTTATCGCTTTTTGTAAAAAAAAAAATAATAATAAAAAATAAATAATAAAGAAAGGATAAAATAAAGTAATAATTTGTATTTTATAACACCTTTCTGAATTTAAAAAAAAGGTTTAAAGATAAGCTAATGTTAATTATTACATGGCTACGAAAAACAATGATACCTGTTTCTTCCCAGTCAATAAGATGATAAAGCAACCCTCGAAGTGCAATATTCACCTCGTCCTTCGGGGAATATTGTACTCCTCGGGTAGCTAAATCATCGCATTGATCTCAAAAACAGCAATAATTCTATAAAGTGTACGTTATTGTATAGATAGTATTGATTAGATAAGTTTTGAGGTTAATAGATATTCTGAATTTAGAGAAATAGACATCTATGTGAAGTCGCTCACAGGTCAATATAATGACCAGGAAAATAATGTCTATATCATTTTCTCCATACGATGATTTAAACGAAACCGAGATAAACCAAAAAAAAAGTAACTTTAACAAAAAAGCATGATCTTGAAAAGAGACACGTAGATTTAACATAAGTAACATTAATCACTCCCTCTGGAAACAACTATTACAGAATAGGGTGGCTGAAGATTTAAAAAAAAAACCTACATAAAATGACTGTGTTTAATAAGCAGTTCTTCCTGTGTGAAGAGTATGAAATAATTCTGTGAGATGAAAAGTTATTAGTAACATCAAGCATAAAAGTCTCATTGAAACACTTGGTGCAATTTCATCATTAAGATGTCAGTAATTTGCTGATTGTCCTTTCATTAATTAATAAATATAATTACAATTTTTTTTACATGTATGTCAACTTAAATTTGAAATTTCTTAAATCATTTTGCTTTACTGGATATGTTTTTATTAATCTTTTTTTTATCTACAGAGAAAATGTTATCCGATCAAGTTCATCAAAAATTAACACAACAGTATTTGAACATTTAGACATTAACAATGTTATCTCATTAATCTGTAGTTCTTTCCTATCGTTTTTTGTTTAAAAATAACTGAAACCAATAAGCGATTGATCAGAATACTAAATACCTAGATCTCTGATAATCCCGTGAGAGGGAAAAAACAATTGTCACAGGAAATGTTTTTAAAAACTTCTCTTTTACATCGGATAATATAATACAGGTTACAACAATCTGTAAATAAAAAATTTACCAAATCAATATGCACATGCAGCATGATAAATAATCAAATTTTCTTTTACAAGATAGAGTTGTGACGATGCATTCTTAGATATTCGGAACGCTTAAATCATAATATTGTTGAAATATATATAGACTGGAAAAGAACTAAGTCAAGCATTAGAGGGAATGTCTTTGAAATGAACGCACAAATCTAAAGCTTTAAATAATTGTAATATTTAATTTTGTTCCAATTTGAATCACTATTAGATCAAATAAACTCGGGAAAAGTTATTAAGTGCTGCAACAGTGTTTCCTCTTTTTTTTCTAGTGTTCAAAGGAAGATCAAATGGTATTACCTACCATAGTTGTTTCAACTTTTGTCTTCAGCAGAGGAAGAATCCATACACATTATTACGTTGAATGCAATAAAAAGAGACTAGAGTTTTGAAGTGACAAAATTTGAAGGACTAGCACCTTGAACCAGTAATTGAATTTTTCATTTTAAAAAATGAATGAATAAAGAGTTAGATATCAGTAACTGGTGTTTAATATTTGAAAAATGCTATTTTGTTTGATTTATGAAAATCAGACTTCCATGGATAACATTAAATTTTAAATTGTTGAGAGAGAGAGAGAGAGAGAGAGAGAGAGAGAGAGAGATCATTACAACTTAACGATTCAGAATGGATATAAACTTCCATTTTATTTTTGAGTAGTTTGAAGATCTTTATTATTAAATTGAAAATATCATGTCTCACTGAATGTATTGTAAAATGTATTTTAAAAAAATTATTATGTTTACCTTTACTGACGATGCACTATATGTCAAATTTGAAATGCATAAACAGTAAATCTCAAACAGAATTGGTTGATTTTTTTCACGAAGATCTGTACCTGTTATGAAGGGTTTAATAGAAGGTTATTTTGAATTTTGAACAATATTTGCTTTGCAAGTTAATACTAGCTTCATTCCAATGATTATTATACCTATGTCGTTTAAAGGGAGATCATTTGAGTACATCCAGAGTTACCTTATGCAAATTTTACAATAATACAGCAAAGTATTTGGGGGATAAGTATAAATTCCTGATTTCTAGAGGGTGGAGGTGGGATAATATATATGTAATAAGAAAGAGCTAGGGCCACTTAAGGCCTTTTTGGCCCTGTGAGTTTCTGAAAAATCGGAACTGCTCGGTTTTGGTTGACAATGAAGTATTTTTCACTTGATCCCTTGGGACCATGTATCTATGGCTTAATTTTCTCTATAATCAATGCATTATGATGTCATGAAATGCGTCATTTTTACCACATCCTGTATATTCTTTGAAAAATGTCAAAAGTTGGAGTATTTTTTCAATCTTTCATATAGAGCAACCTCTGATCTAAAATATGCAATTACATAATGAAAGATCTGTTTCTGAAGATCATTAAACATGTTTTACTTTGTGGATCGAGGGCTGTGGTCATATTTTAATTCTTTGCTGAATGTAGTCAAATATGCCTATTTTCGGCAAATTCAAGAACATTGCATTTTCACAAAGACTGTTTTCTAATACCTGAATTATTAAAAGGAATTTTGTTATAGGAAATGAAAGCGCTAAGTATCTACTTTATTTTGATATATGAAATGGGACAGAGGGTGATAGTCAATTAATTGATATAAGGACAGAGCATTTTATGCATATATCATAACAAAAATTGCTTAAAAGAATAAGGATGTAACATATTTTGGTTTATTTGCACTATTCGGCTGAGAGAGATAACAGATGCGAAGCTTTGAAGATAAAAATAAACATAGAAGCTGGTCACTAGGGTTTGACCTTTGTAGCCTGTACAATTCTAAGAAAATGATACATTAAATTGGAATGCGGTTTGTTACTTGTTTATCAAAAGATGTATTTTGTAAGGAGAAAAGAGCAACCAATAGTATTGAAGTGACCAGAGGTCAGTTGTTAGTATAAATTAGCTACAACAAAGAATATTTAAAAATTATGCAAAAGATAGAAAATGATTTTTAAAGTGCATTAGGAAACTAAAGAGTGTTGGAGGACAGAATAATGGTAATTGAAATTCAAATTAAAATTTAAAGTAATTATAGCAAATTTCGAGGGAGTTACAAATATGGAGATGTAAAACTACAAGGGTACACCTGGTATAAAATGAGCGGACGGCCAGACACATTCAGTCAGAAACTGGATTGTGTCTGTCTCTGCTTGCATTTTATACAGGTGAGATCATTTTGTAGACTTGCGCGTTTTTATAAAACTTAAGTAAAATTTTCAGATGGCTAATTTTATTTACAGGTTTAAATATTTAGATTATAAGTGGTAATGTTTATTATAATGTTTAGTATCTTGTGTAAAATTATTTCTTGTAATCATTAATAAAAAAAAATGGATTGTTTAATTTAATAAAGTCAGAAACTGGATTGTGTCTGTCTCTGCTTGCATTTTATACAGGTTGGGTAACAGTGCCACACCTTAACACCTGTGAGCCGCTCTGTTGAGGGAAGGTCCTCAGATTTAGAGGGAAATTGGAAGTGTAATATACAAGGGTCATTTTGCAGAAATAGAAAGTTGACTTGGGTCACTCCGACCAAGCTCAAAGATCATAAGAGTTATTCCTCTTGGTGCGTCCTCTC